CAGCCGAGCCCCAAACCTCCTCTCCGCCAGCAGAGCCACCTATTCCGACCAGCACCTGAGCGTGGGAGCAAACTTACAAGCTCCTAATTTTGGATTCAGGAGGCTGAGCATCCACGCAGTCTGTGCCACGAGCTGGGAGCCAGGAGCCCTCGTCTTCATCGCTGCAGCACAAAGGAGTGGGGGGAAAAACTGTGCTGAGTCCCAGGCTCACCACGAATGAGTGCCAGAGCCACCCTGGGGCTCCCTCCCGAGCCGAGCAGCATCCCACCAAGCAACATGTGCGGAGGTGGCCAGAAAGCCAGGGGCACCCAGAGCAGAGCTGCCCTCCCCATAACCCGCGGGCGGCCCCCCCCCGCCCACAAAGCCCCAGCCGACCATAGCGCCCCTCGTGACCCAGACACAGCCATGTTCCATGGTAAGCCCAGCTGCAGCTCGGTGATCTGAAGCCACGAGGCTCTTCAGACACCCGGTTCAAACCCCTGGCACTTGGTCAGCGGATGGTGCATCCCCCACTGCCACAGCAGTGAAGTCTGTAGGCATCTCACCTGTACAGCAAGGCACGCTTCCCCAGGGGAACAGCCTGACAGTTGGCACCAGTGGCCGCAGCCTGGGGCTGGGGCGGCAGGCGACAGCCAGGCACCATGGTGGGCGACAGCCGGGCACCACGGTGGGCAACAGCTGGGCCTCGTAGGAAAGCGGGGAACACGTGAGAGACAACCACAGGGCAGCGTTCATGCGGCAGTGGTCATCCTCGCCAGGCAGGACCCAGCATCCCCAGATGCCCCCGCTGCCAGCAGAGACCCCAACACAAGCAAGCAGCAGGCTTCAGTAGCACAGAAGAGCTCAGGCCTCTTCAGACCTTTATTAAAGCCTCTAAAAGCCAGTGAGACCCACTCCTCCCCTGCCGCAAAGCAGCTTTAGCACAGGCTTCACCCCCCGACGCTGGCAGACACGCCGAGCCAGGGCTGGTGCCCAGCAGGGTCCTCCCCTCCCTGTGGTGAGAAGTCGGTTGGAGCCAACGCTGCCCACGAACATCTTGCAGAGCCTCCAGGGAACATCTCTACTGTCATCTTCAAAGGCTCTCCACTGGACAGCCTCTAACTGTACAGTGCAGGAACCAGCCTGCCTTGGCCGGTAGTCCCAGTGCCACAACCTCGCCTCCCTTTTGCCACACGCACATGGGGACGAGCGGCCAAGCCGTGTGTGACTGGCGACACGGACACGCATGTGGCAGCAGAGGAGAGCCCAGCCCCTGCGGTGCTCCCAGGGCTGAGCCAGAGCAAGTCATCCATTGCAGACAATAAACCTTTGATCTCTGGAAGGAGGCAGGGAGGAGGCAGCTCTTGGCCTGGGGGAGTTCCTTTCCAGGTCAGGAAATGCTGGAACCTGCCAGCCGGCATCCACCCGGCTCCCTGTCCTCCTTCCTGGTGAGCAGGACTCACCTGCTCGCCGACTCCTCCGCCGTTCCCAGCATTTTAGCTCTGATTTTTTTTCTCTGTCTTTTGATAGTTGACTTCATGGCATCCAAGAAGAAGCTGGGAACTCTCTCTTCGTTCAGCAGCTCCCTGGCAAAAAGCAGCCAGCTGGTTAACCGAGAGCCCGGCAAAGAAATATCGCCCCGACTGTGCCAGGAGCAGCCCCTGATGGGTCACGGGTGGCTGCAGGGACAGGCGGGACCCGGCTCGCTGCCCCACGCCGCGGCGGCAGGACTCACCGCTGGTAATAAGCCAGCTCCTCCTGCACCAAGAACAGGTTGGTCTTGAGCTCATTCCGCTCTTGCAGGATCTGCTGCAGCTCTTCCCTGGAGAAGCAGCAGTGAGCAGGGCTCCTGCCTGTGTCCGCGTCCTGGTGCTGTGGTTCCTCCGCGGGCACTGGCGCTCCTTCCTGGGGGGACAGGGATTCAGCAGGCAAGTGGAGACCCTGAAGCCCCCACCCAAAGCCTGGGTGCCATGTGCAGGCAGAGATGGAAAAGTCTCAGGAATGAGTTCGCCAGACTGAAGCTGCTGCATCCCTCCATGGACCACGGTGGCTCCCCAGCTCAGCCAGCACCCACCACCCATCACCACACATGGCAAACCCTCCTCATCCTCTAAGTGCCACCTGGCTTTTCCTCCCATCGTGTCACCTCGGTCACTCCTGCCTCCAGCCCTACCAATTTTTATAGACAAGGTGTTACCGGTGTCGCGGACACCGCACTGTTCAATTTTCAGCAGTGGAGCTTACTCAAGTGGTTGTGTCCTGCTGGCAGCTGGTGGGTCCATCCGTGCCAGGAGCCCCGCATGGCGCCACGAAGGCTGGGTTGGTGTTAGCGATGCCCTGCAGCAGCGGAGCCACGGGCTCGAACTCACCAGGCTGGGCTTTGGCTGCTGAATCTCAGAGGCGGTCCTGCTCCTCCTGCTCGTTTCCCTCTGGGTTTGCATCATCATGGCCTCCAGGTCCGATTTCTTCTCCAGCGCACTCTTGAGCTGAGCCTGCACCACGGCCACCTTGTGACGCAGGTCCTCGTTCATGGCCATGAAGCGATGCAGTTGCTCCTGCAGCTGGAGGATCCAGGACAGCCAAGAGTGAGGCACAGCAGCAGCTTTGGTCCCCACCCAGGGACACCGTCAGCACGTGCAGAGCCATGGGAAAGGCATCTGCCCCAGCAGGCTCACCAGCCCCACCGACAGCCCCAGAGGGAGGTGACACAAAAGCAGGTCCCCAGGCCCTTCGCACACCACACCCGCGAGCTCCCACGTGCTCACCGCCTCCGTGTCTCGGCTCTTACAGATGATCTCGTGGGCCTGGGCACGAAGCTCATCCCTCTGCTTGTCCACCACCTCCTTCAGCCGCAGCATCACCTCCCGCTCCTTCCGCGCCGTGCTATCTGAGCCCAGACACGGGTGGACAGGTGAGAGTGGCCCCTGGAACCCAAGGACTCCCCCAACCCCCCAACACTACGAGGTTCCTTGGTGCTCCTGCAAAGCCAAACTCTAATGTTACTGGTAGATAACAGAGCACGAAAAGTGGAAAGAGGGGGCTGAGAGCTTCAGGCTGTGCTCGATGCATTCTTGTGCTGGCAACGGCAGCCCGTGCCCTGTGTCTGCCTCCACCATCCTCCTGGGGGATTGGGGGTGCTCTGGGGGTTTGGGGTCCCTGTGACTTGCAGAACACGGTAACACTCGTGCTCCCCAGTAAGACTAGCCTCCAGCACTGGGCAGCACAGAGAGCAGGTTCAGAGCTGCACCCAGCCTGCCATGGCCTGCAGAGACATCCCGTAGCATCAGAGGACCCTCAAACCCACTGGGACACTCACCTTCCTGGGACTGGTTCTCCACGATCTGCCCCAGGAGCTGCTGGTTCTGCTCCTCCAGATAGGCCA